TTAATGAAATATGATGGATCGCATTTGTTTTCATGTGGTGGTGAGCTCAAACGAAGCAGCCTCCAGACTGTTAGCCAACAGTCTTCTCTTGTGCGACATCAAAGGCTCCCATTGACGGGGGGGAGAGGGAGGGCGCGGGAAGGGGGATCGTGGGGAGACAGCGCAGAGGGAGGAGCGCCAAGCAACTCAAAGGACCATTAAATCGTAATCTCTACCTTATGTCCGACAGGGGAGAGCACAGAAATGGAACGGGCCAGGGCTGACCTGCCACTGGTTTCAAGGAGAAGGAGTGTCAGCACCTCCACGTGCGGTGGAAGAGAGGCTGGTGCACTGCTGCTGCAATTTGGTGTTTTGCTGCACAAGGGTGACTTGTCATTGCAGACATGAGGAGTACATCCCTGCTGGAGCCAGAGGAGAGAGGACAGTTCAGGGCAGTTTTGATCTCGACAGAAATACTTAATAAATAGCAACAGATTGTCTAAAACTGTCAGGAAGAACAGCAGCAGAAGTCCTTCTTTTTTCATGTGTAGACTCATCCGTGCTGATGGGCGCAGCTGCAAATATTCAAGAACTACAGATCAATGGATTGTCCCTCAAGTAAGTGCAACTATAGCCACTTTGGGCAAGGATGGGAAAGCATTATCCCGCACTCTGGCCTGGTCTTTTGGTTCCTGAGTATGGCAAGAAGCCTAATTTCCTTCACAGAGTAACTGAAAGGAATCAGAAATGTCATACTATACAGAGCAGTCCAACTGCTGAAAACTACTGCCAGGGTACCTGGCCCTAGCTGTACAGCAAGGCCCTACAAGACAATTCACGTCAAGGGTTAACCATCCCAAGAAGCACTGTAATACAACTGCCATCTGTTTATATGACTTTCTTTCATCTTTAAGGATCTCAAAGCACTTAAATGGTATTATGACTTGCTCAGGAGAGCTACTGAATACATCAATGATGAACATTATGCTGTACAAGGATAAGGAGGGGATTTTAGCAGTACCCCAAATATACCCATTCTAATGACCACTGCCATGAGATAGAACAGACTGGGCTTTGGATTTTTAAGATGTTATTCAAAACACTCACACAAGAAACACATGGGGGAAACCCATTCATCCTGAGACCCCTTGGAAGTGTAATGTGACACTTTTAAATCAACAGCAGCAAACATTCAAACAACAATAATAAAAAAAAAGCACGCAGATTTAAAACACTGAATGGCACTAAAAGTCAATTTCGATTCTGGAATGGTGTCTGCTATAAACAAACATCTATAAAGATTTCTAGGAAAAAAGAGAACAAGGTGGACAAATGGTAAGCCTTCAGTCTTTAAATGGAAGTAAACAACAGTAAGTGATTTGACTGTCAGGTTCTCATGTGCTTACTCAATATTATTCTCTCCATGCAAAGTCTGATTCAGTTGCAGAATAAGGTGTTATTTAACGTAAGAGCATCTAAACTGGTTCTGAAAAACAAAGTATTGTGTAAGGTACTTGAACTAGTTGTCAGGCAGCCCTACTCCAACCAATGCTGAGCATCTTCGTATCCCACTGACATCTCCCAGCACGGGAGCTGGCAATCTACCAGAAGTATCCTGACATACAGGATCAGGCAGCACCTAAGAAAAGAGCAGGAAAGTGGAGAAAATGCCTTTGAACTTGTGAACCCAATTCAGGGTAAACCCTGTGTTGACATTACTGATCACAGAAGTCACTAGTGCTTCTTTGCACCAACTGAAAGCAAGGCCTAAAGATTTGTGTGTTAGTTTGTTTATTGTTTCCACGTACTATACACATTTCTATGGAAGGCTGAATATACACTGTCCTTTTTAGGCTCATCTAAAAAAGCAGATCCAGTTTACAATTTAGATTTCTAAACACAGAAATAAGCTTTTACCTGGTACATTTTCCTCCTTTAGAGCTTATGCCTTAATTTATCTAGAGGTTTTATCATTGCATTGTTAGATAACCCTGTGTGGAACAGACACTACACACCAAGAATTCAGAAAAACAGGAACAGTGTTGCTGCCCTGTGTATTTCATGCCAGAGTCAGAACAACAGCTCTGTATCTACAGCCTGGTATAATTAACACCAGCTTGCCATTTTACACAGAAACATTAACTCTTCCAAGCAAGTGCTTCCCCCATCCATCCAGTTCCTTGGATGGATGAAATAAGTCACTCAGAGTTAGTTTCCCACAATTACAGAGCTCTATCTGATATTGCAGGCACACAGCACAAATTGAATTCAGTGGGATTTCTGTATATTCAGCATCTGAAGGTTTGGGACTATAAATATTAACCTTTCTCCAAAGCAATCATATCCAATGTATCACACCATAGGAGGCCAAAACACTGGGCCTGATCCTGCAATACAAATCCTGTCATCCTTTTCTTTCTTATTTTTTTTTCTTTAAGCTAGCAGAACTATTTGTGTAAATAAATAGGCACTCAGTGCATTTCTTTTCCAGCATCCCGAGTGGCTGGCACAGACTGAGTTACACAGCATGAATCTAACCGAGATCATCTACACTGTTCCCCTGGAACAGCACCTGAGCCCTTCTGCCCTTAAACTGCTCTGAAAGTACAAATTTACAAGCAGCATTTGAAGCATGACTCAAACATCCTTGAGTATGAGCAAGATCTGGTGTGTGACACAACTGGCTCGCCTTTATTTTATTATCATTATTACCACTCCCAGGCTTTGGAGGCCTCTATGTGTCTCAACACATTTCTTTAGCATCTCTGATAGCCTTCAGTCTTCCTGCATTTTCTACCTCTGAACCAGTAGCAAATGGCAAGGAAAAAACTACATAAACAAATGGGTTCACGCAGGACACAAGAAAATCCATGCAGCTAACTTAAGTTTAATGCTCTTCAACTCAATTCCTCCTTCCCTTGCCCCTGGCCCCCAGGGGAGGTGGGAGGAATGGTTTAAATCAATAACCAAAGGCTTCAATTCTACAAACCCTTGAGCCATTAGAGCTCTGAGTCCTTGGTGCACCCGTCATAACCTCCCCCGCCCCTGCACACACCCACACACACGTAACACATATGAAAAAAAAGAAAACTCCCAGCCTGGCATTAAGGACATTCACTCAGTGCTCTTTACTTAAAGGAAGAAAACAATTAAGTGAAACCTTGAAGTAATCTCATTCTGCCTATTTAGCCTCTTCATCCCTCAATGTGTGGTTAGTAAGTGTTGCAATCAGGGGCTAAGGCCTGCTATCATTCGGCCTTAATTAAAAAAGACACAAGCAGTGGAGCTGTGAATTAGAAATGTAACAACGCACTACCCCTGATTAATTCGAGGCTCATGTTGGATTAATAACTCCAAACAAAGAACAAAAGGAAATTGTTATGCGAATTGCAGTCCTCCCAGGCCAGACAAAGGTCAAATCACAGGATTTCAATTTCATCCGGAGTCGCTTAATCAACTCCCTCGGAAGGAAGACCATATGCAGTCCTGAAAGCTACCCATTGTAGTCGTGTTGTCACTGGACCTGAGAGACAGCACAGAGATAATCCCAACTATTCCCCATCTTTTCTCCTTCTTGTCTGTTTCTTTTCTTTCTCAGTTTCTTTTTTCTTTTCCCTTTTTTTTTTTTTTTTTTTTCCATTTTGACAAAACCCCTTCATTAGGGCTAATGATTAAGGAATAAGGACACTATCTGTCAGAAAGCAGCTTTTGTGGCTGCTGCCCCATGGAAGCTCCCTAGCTCTCACTGCCCATGCAGCTGCACAGGCAGCTCCTCATTTTGAGGGGGGTCTTCTCCAGCAGCAGCAGAAGCCACAAACTGCTGTGCTTCATTCAGCATCACACAGTCACATGCAACAAACAGCACCTGGGGTGTGTAAAACAGGATGTGTTTTACACATTCCGTGCTCTGCCTACATCTTAATACAGGGGTCTTGCGAGTATGTTAGCTGGGGAAAAAGGATTTTCCCACTCTGAAGACCTATCTGACCAAAACTAAGCCACAGAGCATAAAATCCCATATTTCCTTGCTGTTCACACCCCCAGTAAAATGATGATAATGATGAGGGAGCAAAGCAGCTGTCAGTTTTTATGATCTAAAATAAATTATCCCTCCAGTAAGCAGACACAGAGCATGTCCCCCTGCTCCCCACCAAACGTGACTTCTCAAGTAACTCACATGGCAGGGCATTTTATATGGACTGCCCAGTTATTCTATTTAAAGAATAAAGAAAAGTCCAAGTCTGCTAAGGGACCTGTCCCCTCATGCCAAGACCAAGCCTATAGAAACTGAAAAGGAATAAGAAAGAAGCTCTGAGGTAGAGACTGCAACAGGGAGAACAATTCCTGCCCTGGGCCTTCCAGAAGGGCTCTGCCCATCAGTACAGTACCATCAGTTTGCCACACAGCTGCCTGCAGCTGGCCCCGACTGGATGGGGCAGGTGCCCTCTCTCAGACAGATCCCTAGTGTTTATACACATTTCAAAAGCCAAGCTGGAATTTCTCAGGGTTTCATTTGCTGGGTTTTTTTGTGTTTGTTTTTGGTGGGGTTTTTTTGTTTGTTTGTTTTTTTGGTTTTTTTTTGCATATTCTGTAAAGCAACACAGTTCAGGACCAAATTTGCTTTCTTCAGCAATCAGCTCCAGCAAAGGGTCAAGAGCCAATAACACTTCCTACCTTGATGTAAGTCTCTTGCTTAACTCAAACAAATCTCTTCTGATTTACAGGAGAATGAGATACAAAGATTTAAGCAACAGTTCTCTTTTAATCTCAGATTCTGGTCCCAAACATATTCTGTGTATGAACTCGTTACTGTAGGATTGCTAACAAATGCATCATGACCCTCTGACTTGATTTTGCCAAGAGATACCTTACAGCCCAATAAAACCACCCAAAACCTGGTACTGGTACCTGGCACTGTACCAGTAGTTTCTAAACCTGAAGGCACCAATGGATAAGAGTTAGGATTCACATATTAAAACACCTTGGGAAATGCAGGTGCAGATTCTGTAGAAGTCTCTTACCTGTGTTAGGCGCTGGAATAAAACTGTAGGTCACTCGGTGAACTTAAAAGAAGATCCTGTTTTGACTTTCAGCTTGGGATCATCTCCATTCAGTTCTGTCAGAAACTACACCTGGTCCTCTTTCCAAGGGGCTGCTTACACACCCGCTGTCTCCGAATTAGCTGTTGGAGGGGAAGAAGTGGTTCGTGAATTGGCCCATTCTGAAGTCCTTTCCCACCCAGAAATATTCCAGTTTTAAATACTAACCCAGTAAATGACTATTCAACTTCTCTGATGCTTTCCTTTTAAGTATCAGTTCACTCTTACTTTACATATTGATTTCCTAGCGTGCAACCAAAAATTAAAATGAAATACCTACTGTGCCATGGGAAAGGAGAGTCACATATTCACAACTCTTTTGCCTATGTTATACCACATCATTAAATCCAAATTATATGGAATGCAAATTCTGTTAGAAATAAATCTCTCAAGCATTCTAGCAGCTCCAAAAAGTAAGAATAATTTTTTGAAATCTGTTACTATTAGAAGCTCAGCAACGTGCACTACAAGCTATTTTAGCTACTTGTACTCTTCAGTGCAAAAGTAAAATACAAGTTTTAAGTGTGCAGCTCCAAAACTGTAGCCTATGTACTCGTTTGTCAAAGAAAGCAAGCTGTGCACACAGCCCAGTAAGAATAAATGGGATGACAAGCTTGTCCCTTTCCTTTATTCTTACTCCAGGTGCTATGGAGCTGTTCTTCATCTCCTTGTCCCAAAGAGACATCACCCTCTCAGAAAAAAATCCTCTTCCTTTATAATAAATTCTGAGCCTCAAGTTATTATTATTCTGTGATATGAAACAGAATCACAGAATGGTTAAGGTTGGAAGGGACCACAGTGGGTCATCTGGTCCCACCTCCCTGCTCAAGCAGGGTCATCCCTGAGCACGTGGCACAGGATTGTGTCCAGACAGTTCTTGAATATCTCCAGTGAGGGAGACTCCACGACCTCTCTGGGCAATCAGTTCTAGTGCTTGGTCACCCACACAGTAAAAAAAGTTCTTCCTCATGTTCAGCTGGAACTTCCTGTGCATCAGTTTCTGCCCGTTGCCTCTTGTCCTACTGCTTGGCAAGCTCGAGCACAGCCTGGTCCATCCTCTGATACCACCCCTTCAGATACAAATAGACATTGATGAGGTCCCTCTCAGCAGCCTCTTCTTGAAGCTGAGCAGGCCCAGCTCCCTCAGCCTGTCCCTTCTCTAAGAGAGATGTCATTAATCTATATGCAATAATTCATTGTATATAGATAAATGACAGTAGCCTTTGAGTACATACACTTAAAGACTTTACAGTCCTTGACTCAATTGTAAAAATCTTCACTGGGAAACATTCTGCAGCACCTTTTTGGAAAATGACTGTTTGGTGTTGGTATTCATTCATGTGATTTCTTTGAGGCAAGCAAAGAGCTCACTTCCATAACATCTGAATGGCCTCCACTCAGGCTGCACACCATCACCCTACAATACTGTTGCACATGAAGCTTCAGCTTCTTATGTCAGCTGCATATAGAATTTCAACTTTCATGTTGAAGTTTAGTTAAGCTTGTAGCTGTTAGTCTAATGGGGAAAGCCTGGCCACACATTTCCCATGTATTCTAATTACTCAAGGATAAGTTTTTCTTCAACAGTTGCAGAATCACAGAACCATTTAGGGTGGAAAAGACCTCCAAGATCATCAAGTCCAACCTTTGACTGATCACCACCTTATCAACTACACCACGGCACTAAGTGCCCCATTCAGTTATTTCTTGAAAACTGCCAGGGATGGTGACTCTACCACCTCCCTGGGCAGCCCATTCCAATGTTTAGTAAGCCTTTCATGAAGAAATTCCTCATATGTCTAACCTGAACTTCCCCTGGTGTTTCTTGAGCCTATGTCCTCTCATCCTGTCACTTGCTGCCTGGAAGAAGAGGCCAACCCCCACCTGGCTACAACCCCTCTTCAGGTAGTAGCAGAGAGTGATAAGGTCTCCCTTGAGCCTTCTTTTCTCCAAGCTAAAGAACCAGAGCTCCCTCAGTCTCTCCTCAAAGGACTTACTCTCTAGTTAGCACACACTCACAAACTTTTAAGAACCTAAGTTCATAGTCCAGGTCCCCAGGCCCATAAGAGGCTGTTACTCCTCTCAGTACAGAACATGCACCTCTTGCTTATTGGTGAATGGTGTGCAAATAAATGCATTACAAAATCTGATGTGTTAAGAAAAAAAACAGCTCACCAGAATGACCAAATACATCCACTGCTATTGTAATACAACAACAAAAAGGTGCTTAGGACAGCTCTCTTCTGTTTTCTACAGAAGAAGGCAGAGGCAGGTAGATATTGGGGCATCAGCTCCTTTTCCAACCCAAATGCCAGCACAAGCCAAGTAGCCAGGAGCTTCTGTAGCTTACTTTAGATGATAATCAGTTGAAAGTCTGCTGAGGATGAGGAGAAGAATCTATTTAATACTGCTGACGCAATCAGCCTCCACCACCAAGTTTGGCACGTGTATTCTGCATCTTGAAATCAAACTTTGCCCACTTTCATAGCTCCTGAACACACTGCTGAGAAAAAAACAGCTTCCAATGCTCTTAATGGGACAGGTGTAGCCTAAAATCTTCCCCATTTCATTTTCAGCACAACTGCCTATCTCTCTGACACAGCTACGCTGACGTAGGTGGGAAGAAAAGGCATGCCCTAGCTAAACTACACCTGGGGACCAGCAGAATGCCCTGTATTTCCATGCAATCCCTCAAAATCAAAGATGTCTTAGAGCCTGTCCCATTCTCCTTGCTTCTCTCAGCTATCTCCAAAGACCTATGAATTTTTATAAATCCCAAAGCATAAACAACAGGCAAGCATTTAAAGCTGCCCTCAACTTGACTTGCTCTTTTCTTTTCAGTAACCGTCTCAAAGCTGTGTACCTGTTTCTTTAAGCAAACAAACCAACAAATTTCTCTGATTTTACTTGACATTTTTTCTAATCCTCTCTCTTTACTTAGGAGCTGCCTCTTTCTCTTCCCTTCCACTCAAACAAGCTGCTGGGTGAAAGATATTCCTCCTCTGCAGCTTCTACCAAGTGTGCAATAGCTTTCACGTATCTCTACCTCACTGACCCTTCATCTCTTTTCAAATCACAGATAAGAAACAACATTTCCTTATCTTGCTAAGAACTGGGAATACTTTCCACTTCTATTACAATATTTGCCACCCCTATTAAGCACTCTAAGAGTCTGCATGAAAAAAAAAACATAAATATGGTAGTTTTCTGCCAGATTGCAAGAAACAACTAGGGCCAGTTTTTCAGGGGACAGTATTCCAAACTATACTGTAAGCAAGCAGCTGTATCAAAAGATTAAATACGATGGGATGTGCAGAGAAAACCAGTTATGTCAAGCCCATTTGTCTCTCTCCAAAAAACCCAGCCCAACCAACCAAAGATAATGTGGGTTCTCCTATTCACCTTACCAAAATGCCACTTCAGTTAGAGAGATAAAATCAGAACACAACAAATTAGGTTTTACGTCTGGATAATTTTTCCAGAGAAGTCCAGCACCTTTATTTAAGCTCAACTTAAAGGATTGCACACCATATCTGAGAGCTGCTGGGCAGCTGCTGCTCCCCCTCTCAGAGGTGGCTGCTCCTCAGTTCTGGCTGGCATAAAGCAGGGCAGGATACACAACCCTTATTCTCACAATGCCATGTTAATTTACATAATTAGTCCCACTGACATCAGTAGGAAAACATGTACTGTAAAAAAAGTAGTGCAGGAGAACATTTATCTTTTTGCAATAAAACCATACAACAAACATATCCAATCTAAGCACACTAAATTTACTTTCCAAGGAGTCCAAACAATAGCTGCCAACACATCCATACAGATTACATGTTCTTAGTTTATGGAAAAAATGGAGTAATGTTTTATACTTTTCATTATAGGGCTATTGTCTGATTTTTTTTATTTATTTTTTTTTTTAATGCAAGAAATACGTTTAGTGAGAAAATTTTGCAGGAAAAGGTTTTCCTACTTAAGCAAAGAATAAAATGCAGAAAACAAAAAATATTAACAAGAAATTATCTGTTTCTATAACATTTTCATGGCAGCTCAGACATGCAGGAGAGAAGTACCAGCAGCTAAAGAGGCTGAAAATCCAAATCACAGAATCATTTGGGTTGGAAAAGGCCTCTAAGATCATCAGGTCCAACCATTAACCCAGCACTACCAAGCCCACCACTAAAACACGTCCCCAAGTGTAACATCTACATGTCTTTTAAGCACTTCCAGGGATGGTGACTCCAGCACTTCCCTGGGCAGCCCATTGCAATGCCTGACCACCCTTTCATATAGAACAGAAACTTAACCTGTTTCAAGTACTCTACCACTACTGCTGTAGTCCTGGAGTCTTCTGGATTCTTAGGAATTTATTGATTTCCTTGAAAGAGACAGTTTTCATTCCAAGACATAAAAATATTTCATGAAACAATTTTCTTTTTTTCACTTTTGGCGAGCTTTAACGGTAATTCTGAGGATTGCCAATTATTGTTATAAATCAAGAAACACAGTAGTAACTTCCTTGGAAAAGAATCTATAATACTTCCACAAAGTATCAGGAATCCTACCTAATTCTTCATTGCCATGATGAGAAATTACACCAAGTAGTAAGAGCAAGAGTCTATCCATGTTACATAAAAAGGAAGAGCCTGGAAAGAGGTTCCAGAACCTTGAAAGAACTGGATCTTATGAAGCCTTATTTCACCTTTGCTTTTTTTTTTTCTTTTTTTTTTTTTCATTTTCTTGTGAAATCTGTCTCCTTTGCTTTGATGCCTTTGATTGAAGGGTATTGTGTAAGTGACTCGCATTTGCACAGCTCAGAAACATGAACACCAACAAAAGCCAAAACATACAATTTGGTGTATTTGCTTGCTGACTAAACACTTTTTCTTACATCTTTCTCTGCTTGGAGGGTAAATTGTTAGTTTCAAAGCTGAATGACTGCTTCAGTAAGTTGGGAAGCAGACTATCAGTACAGTGTGATAATTAAGGGATCTTAGTTCTTAAACAATGCTGATAAAACAGAAATCCCTCTCCCTTTTTTCTGGATTACCTTTAGAACTGAAATCAGAGCATGCTAAATGAATAATAA